GCGGGGTCTGCGGCTCCCAACTCGGCTTTGCAGGTGGCTGCGTTGCGATGACGGCGAAGAAGAATCAGGCTCTGCAGAATGGAAGTGCCAAGGTGGGTGCGGGAAGAGGGAGAGAGGGGAGGGCAGAGGTGTGCCGAGGGCACCAGGTAGCGCGTGCCGGGTGAATACAAGTCACATCTCGTGTGTCCCATGTGTCCCTCTGTTATCTTTATATCGATCTTTACCTGCAATAACATGGAGCATCACCGAAGGGAAAGGATAAAACCTTTCGCTTGCTTGAAATTAAATAACTCAGAGTCAAGAAAGTTAACCCTGACGCGGTACCTGCTGGCAGTGCCCGTCCTTCGTCTGTGTCCCCGCCATGGAGCCCAGACCTCCCACAGCCATTCTGCCGGGGCCGCGACACGGCTCTGAACCACTGAGCCCCGGGGCTGCAGGGTCTGTGAGCGGGCTGGCTCCGCCGAAAGCCAAAATTAACACCATATAGCACAGAACTATCAAAACTATCGTTTCTATCAAACATGTAGATTCGCCATCCAGTTGTGGTCACAAGCAGGACGTGAAGCCTGACTCGGCCTCTCGCCCACTGGTGATCAGGGCAAAGCTCAGCTTTTTCTTCTGCTCTGTCCCATGCAACCCAAAGAGTTCTTGCCTCGTGGCTGCTGCGATGAGCCGGCGTTCACCCTCGTGGCTGCAGCTTCTTGCTCGGTTGTCTCACCTCACCAGGTGGGCGCCAGGCGAGGGCAGGAGCAGAGAGTTGGAGCCGCAGGTTTATCCTGCTCACCTACTTTTGAGGGTCCTACATCCAGCCATGTTCTGGTACCGGCAGCACACACAGGTGGTGGCTGTGCTGGTTTATACCGGCATCCCACGTTGCCTGTGCAGGCAGGATGTGGGGACACGGTGCCTCATTGCCCTGGATGGCTCTGGTGCCCTCTTCTTCAATGGCTCCTGCCAAAGCCCATTGTGCCACCAAGGACAGACCCACTCCTCTCCCCTTCTCCTTTTTGAGGTCTGTATCCCTTTCTTGTCACAGTGGTGGCAGGACAGAGGTATCACATAGGCAAAATGGACTTTGCTGGCCCAAGGACAGGAGCAAGGACTGGGTCAGATGGAAGACAGAGCAGAGCAGGGTGGAAAGCCAGAGAGAGTGCCTGGACAGTCGGGCTTGGGAGATGAGGGGAATGGGGACCATCACCCCTCCAACACTGCCTGTGGTGTTCCTGCTCCTTCGGTGGCAGCAGCTAGCCTGATTGTCTGTGGCTGTGATGTAGGCAACGTAACTGGGAGACCCTCACAGGGTTTGAGAAACCTCCTCCTCCTCCAGCATGAGCTGAGGTCCTCTACGGCTGCTGCAACACACCAAATGCCACCAGCATGTGGACGATGGGGCGTTCTTGGGCGAAGGGCTGTTGGCTAATCGATGCCTGTCTGCCATGCCCAGGAGAACGTGCTGCAGAGGGTCCTGCAGCTGCCGGTGGTGAGCTCGACCTGCGAAAGCCTCCAGCGGACCTACACCAGCACCAAGGAGGCCCACCCGCTCATGGCTTCGGTGTGTGAGGTCTACGAGCGGGGTGTGCAGGGCGCCAGCGCCTTGGCCATGTGGAGCGTGGAGCCCGTGGTGCGCAGGCTGGAGCCTCAGTGTGAGTCCATCCCCCTGGGGGACACAGCAGGGGGGAGCCCACCAGAGCCTCCCTTGGTGGGACAGCGCTGGCACTAGCACATGAGACCTCCTAGCACAGCTTAGGAGCTTTTCTTACCAACCTACCCTCATGCTTTTGCCCAAGGCAGTTGCTGTGGCTAACAACCTGGCCTGCCGGGGCTTGGACCACCTGGAGGAGAAGATCCCTGCCCTTCAGTACCCTGTTGACAAGGTAAGTCACAGGTGGGACAGTCTGGGACTCCCCCAGTCCCTTTGCAGAGCCCACAGCACATCTCCTGTGGTCTTGTTTCTGGACGGTGATGGACTGCTGGGAGGGAAACAAGGTAGCACCTCCAAGTAAGGACTCCTCCAGGGGCTCCTGCAGCCCAGGGGATGGTTGGGGCACTCCTAAATATAGGTCAACAGTGTCCTATGTCCCGTTCATGCCAGCTACCTCAATGCCAGCTACCTCTAGCCCAGGGTGGAGAGAGCTCTTATGCCCCCCTTGGGGCTATCTGCTAGCATGGCCATGGCTGAGACCCTCATGATCCCTCCAGCTATCCCATGCCATCCTGAGCACACTGGCAGGACTGTTCATCTCTCCACTCACAGCTTGCGTCTGAACTGAAGGGCACCATCTCCTCCCCCCTCCAAAGTGCCAAGAGCACCATTGGCAACTCCATGGATAAGATCATGGAGCTGGCAGCAGAAGGCTACGAGGCCACCAAGAGCACGGTGGAAACAACGGCAAGGTACACAAGGAGGAACTCAGTGAGCCAGATGGCAGCTGCGGGGGTCGACACGGCCCTGGGAGGGCTGGAGAAGCTGATGGAGTACCTGCTGCCGGAGGAGGATGAAGAAGCAGGTAGTCCTCATGCCCAAATCCCATCTGAAGGTGTCTGGGGAGGGCTGGCCACATGTGGGGTGGCACTTCACCCACGGGATGCACATGGCAGGAAGAAGCCCCTGGATTTTGGCATAGGGCTGTCTAGGAGGGTTGTCCCACTGGGACATAGTACCCCCATCGGTCTTCTGCCTCTGCTCTCTGTCTTTAGATCAGAAGCCCAAAGAGAAACGTGGGTCAGCAGTAAAGGTCTCCCAGCAGCAGCCCAGCGCTCCCAGCACGCTGGGCCGGATCGGCACCTTGGTTAGCACCGTCTCCCACCGCGCTTACCAGCAAACCACCCAAGGCCTCCAGCACGCCAAAGCCAAAGGGCAGGAGCTGGCCACCTGGATTCCCATCCTGGTGAGTGCCAAAACCCACCCACTGGGTCCCTGCTTCCCCATACCCTCTTTTGGCATAATTCTGCTTCCAGAGGAGATATTTCGGGCTCCTTGGAGCACAGCTGAGAGCAGAGTGGTGGGCGTTGTTGGTTCCCCTGCTCGGCGGGACGAGCCGGGGCCGGCAGTTCCCGCGGCATGTTCACACACAATCTTGTACCATGTTAGCGGGACGAGTTATTTTTAGCTGGCTCCCAATGTATATTGTTGATTTATGGCCTTGCCATAACAAAAAAAGCCTAAAGCAAAAAGACCTTCCAGGGGCCCGGAGAGGGTGGGGAGGAGGAGGCACTTCTCCTCTCTCACCCGGTGCTGTGGTGGGAGCCCCTTCCCTGGCCTGTGCTGAAATCCCAGAGCTCACAGCTGCCCTCAGGAATTCTTCCCACGTGCATAATGGAACCCCTCGCACCCCGGGGCAGCCATGAAATCCTCAGGCACAGCGAGCTGGGGTGGATGGGACTTGCCAGCTTTCCCTGAGCGGTGGCTTTTTGCTCCCCTCCCAGGGCAGCCTGGCCAAGCCGAGCACCCCTGAGGCACCACGAGTCCACGGTGATGGGCAGAGCACTGTGGCTGGCTGGCTGAGCCGGCGGCAGAGCAAGGTGCCGGAGCAGAAGCAGGAGAAGGCAGAGAAGAAAGACAACACCCACACCAAGGAGGTACAGAGAGAAGGGGAGCCATGAGCCGGGGGCACCCCAAAGCATACTCCTGCTTGTGTACCATGCCGGC